TGTAGAAGTTGTTGAATTGGAGAATGTTTTGTTGTGTATATTTTTGCCAAAATTTTAAAAATACATGAATAACAATGAGTATAAGGAAGAAGAAAATGTTCTAGAATTGATTGTGGTGATGATTGTACAATTTTTCTTGATCTGATTGAATTATTGAATTGTATGCTGTGCATGAAGTGTTACAAATTAAAAAACTGTTAAAAAATTGAAAATAAGGGCAATTATTGATATTTAGGGCCCCTTTTTCACTCACATTGCTTTCCTCCTCCTTGCCCATAAATTCTTCTTTCCACTTAGAGCAGAAATAGACTGTAAACGCAGAAGGAAAGAGGTAGAACATGTGGAAGTGACAGCATTTGATTGAATAATTTTTGAAAGTCTAATTTTCCTCACAAACATATACTGAATACCAATGTGCCATGGATATCTTTCATATTAAAATAAACGAAGGTCCACCAAGGACTAAAGAAAGGTATGCTGAAAGTTTAAAGAATCACAGCATCCAAATATGATAGCACTTCTTTGATTCACAAGAGTTAAAATTTAATTTCCCAAAACACAAGCTACAATGACCTTTTCAGGTAGAGTTCCGTCCCAGATATTGACCAGGATCCCTTAGGATTCTCTGCCGGGTCATTGCCGAGTCTAGAGACCTAAAACGAGCACAGAACTCACCCCGTGGGGAAGCTGAGTTGTCACAACACCGTCTGTGAGACAGGTTATGATCATGGAGCACACTTTGCCCTGGAGGACATAAAATGTTGGCAGACACCGATGCAGACCAGGTGCAGTCACCTGATGTTATTAAGAGCCATTATCAATTTCACACGGCACAATAATCAGACAGAGCTGACTACACCAGGCTGCAGGTTTGCTGACTCCCAGGGCAGGCTTTGGTCACTCAGGTCTGGTTTGGGAACTGTTTCACAGGATGATCTTGAACAAATGATGTTGCTTCTCACGGTTTCCAGATCCCAAGACCTTGCTCATCAGGTAAAACTGATTTCAGATGATGAGACTCAGCATGGTTGACATGTAAGTTTCTGTCCCAATAGGCTTCTGAGACGCTGATCAAGATGTGTGCACATCTCATCAGTTGAAAACCCACGAAACTTTGATGTGAGAAACAGGATCGGGAAGAGAGTATATGCGGACAAATTCTTTATTCTCGTGATTAAAGAAACCTGGAAG